AAAAGCGAAACTGGGAACTTAGAAAAGGTCAGTACCTAACAACTCTCTCAACATTTTGCAAACGACTTTCCACAAATGCCGTCATAATTTCGGGGCAACAGAGATTGAGCAGATGATCTTCACTGCTGCGAACATACGGAACAGAAGTACCATTTACTTGGGCCAAAATGTCACCAAAAAAATAAAGTGCTGGTGGCGGAGAGGTCCATCATCTGAAAATATAAGGGTGAAAAGTAAGAAAAGTGATTCTCAAAACAGTGATAGAAAAGCTTAAAATAATGAATGAATACCCTCAGACTTTCCACAGTGAACTGTGCGAGAAGACGCATAACTGCAGCATAATCAGGCACTTTGATTAGTTCACACAGTTGAAAATTGGTCTTCAAACGAGATACCATCCTGCAGAACTCGTGAAACGCAGGCTGAAATGCTCCATTACAAAAAGTGAAGATCTACAGCGCAAATTTCCTGAAGAACTACTTTTACATAAGGTATCAGCCGGCGCTCAAAGTCAGTGGGCACAATAATCTCGCAACTTGATGAAACGGAAACAGGAGGGCAAATAGCGAAAATGAAGCAAAAATGGGGCGAGGCCCGAAAAGCGAACAAGCTACTCTCTCCAACAGATCAAACAGCACCTTCACCTGATTCAGTGGTCACTGAAAGCTCACAAGTAACGAAGTAGTACGGCCGAAGCTGTTTGGCTATGGCGACTGGAGCCTTGACCCACCCTGCTCAGCCAAATAAGGGAGCAGAATAGTTGAAAGCCCAGAAAAAAAGCCCAGCCCAAATCCGTAATATGGTCCTAACAACCCATTCCTCTCTAATTTCACTCGCGAGTAAAGCACGCATAGAACCCCTCTGTTCGCTGAATTGCAACAATTAGTGGATTCAATAAAAGTACCTGCTCTGTAAGTTTCTCAGGGTTCTCTATTACTCGTTTCACTCCCGCTACCACATGCTCGAGATAAGTCTGGCGTTCACTACCGTTGAATAGAGTTCTGCGAACACTGGCTAGTTGGACACCAATGTGCAAAATCTGAAAATATCTTTCAAGTAACTGCAGTCTAAAAGCTGAATAAAACGTACCTTGTCAGAAGCAACACTAGGAAGTTTGATATAAAGCTGGAAGATGAGATCAACTAATTTACCATCAGTGAAAGCTGAAATAATATCACATCATATCACTTAGCACAACTACACAAGAGTAAAATTCGTACCAGTTCGCCAGATTGTGGGCACTTGAACAGTATAATTATCTTCGCTGGTTTCGTCCGAAAGGCTTCCGATGAAGTCGAAGAGCAATGTATTCAAACAGAGATCGAGAACGGCAAGAACAAACGGCATCTGAAGGCCTAATCGTTCAAAAGTGAGCTGTACAGGAAAGGCCAATGGGTCCTTACCTGCAGGGAAGCAAGATCCTTGCGCGAAATAGCCTCCAGAAGAGATACTGATGTTTCAAAAATCTCAAAAATGTGGGAATCGCGGAACAGAGCGATACCCTTGCGATGTTTGTTCACTGATTCCATTCCTGATTGCTAGAACAAGAAGATAAACAATCACCCCATATATATAGATCACTTAGTCTATTTGTTTGTTTGTAAGCTTTTTCTTTGTAAGTTTGTTTTCTGTGTAAGTTTGTTTGTTCTGTAAGCTTTTTGTTAATAAGTTTGTTTGTCTGCCCAATCGGTTCGACCGGTGAAGAACGACATAAGAGGTCGTCGTCAATCGGTGTGATGGGTTAGCCGGCACTGGGACACGAAAACAAAGCACCCTGACCTATGGAAGCCCGCCACGATGGGCGAGCACTCGCCGGAAAGTTTGGGGTTCCGACAGGAAAAATTTTTCATTAATTCGTTCCGTAGCAGCTTAAAAGATGGGACGGTGAAAAAAGGGAATAAGGTTAGTAAGGAGTCGCCAGACTAACTGTGGCAGACACATCCAAAATGGGCGGGGCGTACTCAAGGTGGGCGGTGCTTCGCAAAATTCAGTAACCCGGTTCGCGAGAGTGTTTGGAAGTCGCAAAAAGCTCAGTTTAGAATGTAAATATCTGGCGAATATAGTCCGCACGCTTCAAAGTGTGTTGAGACCCGCCCACAGTGGGCGAGCTTGCCCTAAATCGCAGGTATTCATTTTAAAAGTTTGTAGCTCGGTTCCAGAACACTCCAGACACCGGAAAAAAAATGGAACTAAGGTCAGCAGAGAAGTCGCGGTCGAGGACCTTGGGCAAAAAACAATTCGTAGTGCGAAGCCTGACCGAGGGGCGGAGCCAGACAAAAAGGTCTGTAAAACGGTTCCAGAGCACTCCGAAGACCGGAATAAAGTGAATTCAGGTCAGCAAGGGGTCGCCGATTGAGAAATGTGGGGTATACATATTGTGGGCGGGGCCAGCCCGAGGTGGGCGGAGCCAGACGAAAATTCTCTAAAACTGGTCCCAGAGCACTCAAGACACCGGAAAAAAAGTGGATTAAGGTCAGCAGAGGGTCGTCGGTGAAGATGTGGGGCACAAAAATTGTGGGCGGGGTCTGCTCTGAGGTGGGCGGAGTCAGACGAAGAATCTGTAAAATAGCTCAAGAGTACTTCAGACACCGGAAAAAAGTGGAGTACAGAACAAAAGGCGGATATCAGTTGAGTCTAGAAATATGTGAAAGAAAATACGCGCGGCGAAGCCGGGCCGTATCAGAAGGAGGCGCGCCGGCGTTAGCCGGCGAGCCGACTGGTAAAACAGAGTTTGAACTGGATGGCGGCTTTTGAAATTCCAGCACTCTTTGATCTTCTCTACCCAGTTTTCAGAATTAGGGCCGCATTTTGATCCAGGTTTTTTCTCAGAAGTAGGTTTGGTTGGAATACCGACCCCGGGACTTTTCGACCCCTCTCCCTTACGATGACACTGACGTTCACTTACCGCGAAAAAACTTGCTGTTTGACCCACAGGCGTCAAAACACCTTTAATCCCGGCTATCTAGTTTTTCTTCTTTAGCAATCAAAACTCCGCTCCCTATCAAGCCCCTTTGGCATCATATTGGCTCTTAATTGATGAATGAGTATTCTGCTAGGTTTTGCTTCACTCATTTCTAGGGCACACTATTACAGTGTAAAATAAATGAATAAATAAATAATCACAACTACTGCTGAAAACGTGTGCCCAAGAGTGATTTGATAATTTAAACATGTATACCACACCCGCTTAGTACTACGAAAACCCTGGTAAGAGCAACAGTGAAGCAAAAAAAAACGTTGAAATACCCGTCAAATATATGGCAAGAAGCAACCTACCGAATTGAAATCGTTGAGCAATGTAGAAAGAAGTTGGAGCGCGAGCATACTTTGATTTCCGCCATTCTGGAATAACAACAAAAATATCGCCAGCGAATATAATCAGAAAAAAAATGAACGGAGCCGCATGATTCTCGCTTGGGCTAATGGGATTGTTCGAACTTCGCGACTGCCAAAGCGTTTAGACTACGAGACTGTCAACGTGCGTCAACGCGCGTTGACGCACGTTGACTCGTGTTGACGCGCGAGGGAACAAAATGGACAACGAAATTTTGAATAGCGAATGACCCTGAAACACTAGGAAACCAATACCAAAAACTAGAAAAGAAAAAAGGTCAAATATCAGCCTAAGAATGGGACGGTCCATCAGTTGCGGAGATGCCTACAAGAGTAGCGCGTCGACGCGCGTTAACAGTCGCGAAGTCTGAACGTAGCCTGAATAAAAAAACTCACGATGTCTATTGTGGCGATCAGGTCAGAGATTGGAGCATGAAAAACATGTTGGTCGTTGCTATCCGTGTATGTCCATTCTTGTTTTGTTATTCTTGCGAATAACTGACACAACGATGAAACTATGAACGGTGGAAGGGAACCAGATCGAGTTCCAAGCAAATTCAAGATATATCTACCTGTAAAGAAGCAATATAAAAGCAGTAATAATCCCAATAACAATAATAATAGAAGGGTTACTCCCCCCCTCCCCACTTTCATCACTTCATCTTTCGAGTGGCACGCTTTCTACAGGATGGAAGTGGCTTCTACTCGGGATGGTAGGCTTACTGGGTGGGATAAGACCTATACAATGAGTTGCGGGGCCCAGCCGATGTACAAGTCAACGTTTATCCCCCAGGCAATCTGGTTCAAATTTACTGGTCCGAGAGGAAAGAAGTCTTGGTTGGGCCGCGCGGAAGCTGATCCCCGCGTACGCGGGCACTCGCCACTACACTCCCTCCCCCGTAACTGGACTAAACCTGCAAAAAGCAAGATCATCACCCTCGAAGCCTGTTCTCTGTCACCGTAACGGCTGGGTACGCCTTCCAGCTATAGTGTGGGGAGCTCCCTCTCGTTCACTTTCTCTGTGGTCCTTTGTGCTCACACTGGTCGTGTTCCCATCTCAACAGGCCTTTGTGCGATCGTTTTGTCGCAATGGATACAGTTCCCACGGCGTGCGCTGGAATCCTAATGCCCGCAGCGCTTTCCTGTAAGTAAACAGAGCACAAATCCTGAGGCTCTAGCTAGGGTATTCAAAATGATACGCCTGGAATGCTCTTCAGCGAATGTAAAGACCATCAGGGTCAAACCCAGTCAACATTTTTCGGACCTAAACTTTCAGGGTCAAAAAACGTGGTCTAGTTCCTCTCATCCCTTACTGGTGAGCAAGAAGAAGGCCTATATTTGCGCTCAGATTCCATTTGAAGGCACGAGCGAAAACGGATCTTGAGTTAAGTCTTTGTTTTCGATCCTCCCCCCCCCCCCCAATATTTCTCATTTCTTCGATTTTTCAAAACAGTCAATGAATTTTCAGTTTCAATGATTTTTTTTGGTATCAAAGCGAGCAGTGCTTTTCCAGTAATGGCACCCAAGGTCTTTAGATCGCGGCAAGTTTTTGCAGGAAGCATTAGACTCACAATTTCCGAGGCTCTCCTACTCCCCTCCTCCTATCCCGAAAGTCAAGTGAAGCAGAAGGAGGCTATAGAATAGAAAGGATAAAAGGGTACGTGAGAAGCCGAACGAGACAGACACTCCCCCATACAGGGGTACCACAATGCATATTTCGTCACCAGACAGGTGATTCAACTTGTAAGGGAAAGGGGTGTTAATCCGGCTGGTGATGACAGCACCATTCTCTTCATTAGCTGTCCGACAACTCGCATTCTCTAGAGAGCAATTTGCAGGTGCAAAATACGAGATAAACTGAATCTTACCTCAAATCTCCGCCCACAAGGCGCTAAAACTTGTGAAAATAATTTGTGATATTTGAGTGCGCAACAAGAAGAGATTCTGCGAAGTGTGTCTTTAAGTCAACCAGATCCTGGTTAGAAGGCCGAGCACGTGAAGCTTTTCCATGCTTCTTTTTTTTGCGGATGAAAATGTGCCAGAACCGCGCACAGAAAGATGTCCAAAATAAGGAAGCAGCCTGGCGCTGTTCGCTTTGGAGGGACATTTGGCATCCTCACTACTTCCTCTTGTTAGTTCATGTTAACCAACAGGTCTCACTTCGAACAGACCTGTAAACTCCTGTGAAGCGACGAAGCTGATTGAGTGAGACACTTCGGTCACAGGAACTTACAGGTCATCACATGGTTATTCGTACAAGCTTAACTGGGTACCATTCGGTGCTCCCACTAAGCCGAAATGCGCCGAATGGTCTCACACAGCGTTCAAACTTCGCGACGGCAGATCTTCGTTGCGCGCTCGACACGGTTGAAAGCATGCGCATCGATCGCTACGAACGCACGAACGAAGCGCTGCCGTCGCGAAGTCTGAACGCTGCCTCACAGATGCTTTTCGTAGTCAACTGAAGGACTCACTCAATTCCAGTTTCTGCTCAACGAGGATACCAGTTTTCGAGTTCAGTAGCTTCATCAAGGTGTTGCTGGCGACGACTGGCCCATACGGCAACTAAAACACGTTGGAATTAGCTAGGAAATCGCTATGCAAGCCTCTCGGATATGCGGTCAATCGGGATACGGACAAGACAATCGTAGTTTGTCGCGACATCGCGCGCGGCAAGGCGCGGTGATTTTCCGATGTGTGCTAGTCTGACCATGAACAGCAAAGCTCAATGAATTCAAGCGGAAATAAACTCCATAACGGGCGATATAGAATTCTCCGTCCGTTTACACTCTCTAACCACCCCCGACGGACGAGTTGGCCAGCCCGATGGACGAGTTGGCCAGGCAGGATAACTCGTCCGACGGGCGCAGCGTTGCTCGCCACACCCATCACCCACCAACGCGGCATATTACGATTGTCTTGTCACACACCCCGGCTATGCCATTCACCTACATCGCCACGTTCCAGTAGAAGCATACAACGACGAAGACACTGTGGTGAATCGACCAGTTCAGCAAGGTTCTGCTCGGCTCGGGCCCTTATCGCTGGATCCATGCTCTCACCGAGCTCTTTACAGAGCCGGTTTAGAACCTGAAATTGTGAAAAAGGCCCTAGTCTTTTGGGACCTATATAAAGGGACTAACCAAACTTATTCGCTTACCTCAAGCTCCTCCATCGTCCAAGCTGAAGCTTCCTGATATCAGAATCGTACGATCGAGTTAGTCCGTTGGTCCCAGAACGTCTAGATATACATTTAACAAATCGATTTGCACTCGTTAATCTGTTTTTTATACATGAACTATTGGAAACGAATAAAAACTCAAGTAATCAACCGTATGACAAATCCTCCAGTGATTGAACATAATAAGAATCTATTTCGCAAGAAATGAGAAAGAAGTATCTTAAAAACAATAAGAAAACAGCGATAAGCCCTAACGAACTGGCAGCACTCCCTGAACGTCCTTGTGCACCTCGCGGCGAGAGCGCAGATGGTCAGGGTACGGTGGTCAGAGGACACAGAGTGGCCATCATCGCCATTTGCAGACTCGAGTTGCGCCGTGTATCTGTCAACTACTCATAAATGGAGGCAGATTTGAATGGGTACTGGGATAACGCAAATAGTTTTTTCTTTTGAGAAAACTAAAAAGAAGCAGAAAGTTGGGAAAACATGGGGATATTTCAGGTAGGAGAGGGAAGGAGGTGCGGTCGTGCAAAGGGTCTTGTTTGTACCCGTTCCCCAAAAAGGCTCAAGCTTGGAGCGCGGATGATCAGATTCCCCTAGGGATAGTTCTACGAGAATAAACAGCCTCTAAGCTAAGCCTTGATTCAGGGAAAAGGCGTAGGTGCTAGCAATTTACACACTATAAGGAGCTGAGATATTAGGTTGTCCGTCGGAAAGTTGCTCAGCGTTTTGGGTGTTTGCATTCCTTTAACGATCGTAACTTTTTTGGATTACTCAATCGCGATATTAATCGAATACAGCACTTATTCAGGATCAGCACCACTTTTGCCAATTTGTGACAGCCGCAGTTCGAGAGAGATCCCATCAAAGTAAAAAACTGGGTGGTCGAAAATTCACGAAATCCACTAAGGCTTTTTTGCCTGGTCCTGATTGATGAAGTATTTTCCAGCAAGGGAGTTCTGAAAATGTTAGAAAAGGTGATAGTCGGTTGGCGAAAGGCCTGTGAAGATGTATGGTACGCCGTTGAGTTAGAATCTTCAACCTTCCAATTTCGTTCTAATTTCATGGACTCAGATCGCATTTGTCCGAAAAATTGTGGCGGGCGGGCGTTGTCATGCAAAAGGAATCGGACCCTTTCTTTTGATAAGTGTTGGCTGCATCTGACAAAATTTTCGGTACAATTCGTCGATTTCTTCACAGTAGGGTTCTGCTGTGATGGTTTGGCCTGGTGATAAAAAGTTATAGTGGATCACACCAGCCGATGACCACCAAGCCGTGACCAGAATCTTTTTTTCGTGAGGGTTCGGCTTTGAAAATTACCTCGGTGGTTCGAAATCCAACCACTGTCCGGAACGTCTCCTGTTATCATACATGACCCATTTTTCATCACAGGTGACAATTCGGCCCAAAAACAGGTCGTTTCTGCTGCGCAAAAGCAATGCAGAAGGAACCTCGAGACGTGCCGATTCCTGCCGGTCACTCCGATTGTGGGGCACCCAATTGTCGAGTTTTTTCACCTTCCCAATGCGTTCCAGACCATCTGCAACAGTGGATTTGCCAAGCTAGTCCTGCTTCTTGCTATCTCTCGAACTGTTGGGATGGGATCAGCCTTCAAAAAGTCCCCTAAAGTCGCTCGTCAGGATTGCTTTAGTCGACCGCTTATGAGCGGGTTCATCTTCAAGGCTGAAATTCCAGAACGAAATTTGTTGAGCCATTGCCGCACAGTGCTTTCTCTAGCACTATTGGCCCCCACACCTGGTTAATTTGTTGAGCTGTTTCGATTGCGGATTGCCCCAATTTATAGTCGAAGAAAAATCGTCCGAAGTGCTCTTTTCACATGCTTGAAAAAAACTTGAAAAAATGAGGTTTATCAAGCAATGGTGGTGTTTTGATGAAAAGGCAAGTTATACCATCAGATAGCGCAAGAAATGCTGCTACAGGATGTGCTACTTGAGAAGAAGGCAGGAATTTGGAGTTTAACGCAGTAATGCTACAAAAATATGAGTGCACAAACGCCCCGGAGAGTGTGAAACTTTCCGGACAACCTAATACGAGATAGTTGGCAATGGGCTGCTCTGACTGCCTGAGGCTTTCCAATAAAATACTTGGAGGCTATCCTTGAAATTTCGCAACATTATTGGGCAATATTATATCTTCATTTTTTGAAGGTACCCAAAGTACCCTATCGGGGCTGGGCAAGTGGTAGTAAAAGTGACCTTGATTGTTTACGCGATTCCAGTGAAAAGAACCAGTTTCAAGGCAATTAGTGAAGCGATCGCCGTTCCTACCCTTCCACTAAGCACATATACTTGAAAGCCGGTTTCGAGCGTGCTATTACGGAGGTTACTCAGAACGCTAAAAACTGAATATTTTGATCGGTGGCCGGCTAGCTTGGGAGAGCCATCCGTTTATTTAGCAGACCACTCATTCAAAATGTGGAAGGTTTTCTTTGAATAAAATTGAGAGAGAAACCCGTTAAAAAGCCACGCATTTCACTTAAATGCATAAGGCACGATAATTTAGTACTTGGTCCGAAATGGTAGCAGGGGTGCTACATGTATAGTGGGAAAATGGCGAAAAAAGTTATGTGAAACAGTAAAACACCTGCAAAAAAAGCCTCTGTTCTAGCGACTCGGAGAGCAATCTCGGACGAGTTTCCTGTTGACATTGTGCCGATAACTGCTATGGTACACTCTGGTTCGCTGCGGACGGTTGGGCGTGTCAGGCAGTATGAGTGTGTCACCCCGTCAAAGCCGTTCTCTGCCTTCTTGTTGAAACGCGCATGCGACAAAAAGTGGTAGAAAACGAGTAATACGAAGGATATGATACAGTATTGTCACTTGCCCGCTTCAACAACTGGTGGAGAACGAGTTTGGCACCGCGCCAGCCGCTGACACGCCCAACCGTCCGCAGCGAACTACGCTATAGATACGGCTGCATGTGTGTACTCATATATCCATGCAGCACCGCAGTCGCTTCATATCA